AACTGGTATTAGAGTAAGAGGCACAGTTTTAGTCATGTATCAACAACACTAAACTGTTTTAAATCATGTAAGTGACCAAATGTGCTTTAGTTCAATATTAAATTGGGGTGCTGTGGCAGAGTGATAAATATATCTATCTATAGTCACAAAGATATGAATTTGAGACTCACCCTGGATTCATGCCAAAATCTGCCCCCTGTTGACCCAGCTGTAAATGAGTTCCTGGGGATGTTAAAGGTTTCCGGCTGTAATGATAACCAAATCTTTTTCTTGTCTGCTGTTGTTTGTAGAAACTGGTAGGCCTTAACCTTTCTAGTCTTATGGGCTGCTAGGCTTAGTAGTACCTTTGGCTGTACTGGAACATTAATGAGACAGAGCTGGTGCTGTTTAAGCATTAAAAAAAATTAAAATAGAATTCCTGAGTATTTCCAACAAGAAAAGTTCTCAGATAAGATCTCTGCAATTGCCGAAGCCATTCTTTGCTCCCAAATATTTTTTTTAAAGATGGCTGGGGCACATCTTCATTTTCTGAAGGTACACTTCCATTCGGACCTGCAAGTAAGACAGACAAACATATGAGGCACAATATATTGAGTCTCTTCTAGAAAATGCGTCTCACAATCTGTGTGGCATCAGGCATATTAAAAATACATATGACGAGTTAAGCTACACAGGAACTGCCTAGACCATAGAAGCAGCTTTTATTTTTCCATCCTTCTAGTTCCAGCCAAAATCATGCCTTTATTTAAAGATAACTACATTCAATTCTACTCTCAAAAGGGGATTTATAAAACTGCAACTTATTGCTCAATGCATCCTGATCTAATTTATTTAAAGTAGAAGGGCTTTTGTTTTTCTGGGGGTGGCGGGGGAGGGGGGGAGGCGGTTTGATTTTTCTTTCTTCTGTTTTGGCTCACACTGAATTTACTTGAATATAAGACGAGGTTTTATTTCCCCCCAATCAGCATGGGGAAAAAAGCCCCTCCTCTTACATTCACATACAAGGAAACCTCACTAAATACATTATCTATCATTAAACTGCTGCCAAATGCAGCATGTGCTCAGTAATGGAAACCAACTATAAAGTTGATTAGATGCAGCCAATCCTGAACATGACTATAAAACACATGGCCCATATGGGGTAGATATACTGATGGGAAGCTTTTTTATTATTTATTTACAATTTTTATTAAAAACATACTTGTCACCCTACACTTACAAAGCTTCACATATTGAGCATTCTTGTTTTACCAAAACTTTATTTAACAAAAACAGCTACACATCCAAAACCATACAGCTACATCTATTAAACCCCTAAACAACGTATGTCAGCTTCCCACAAAAAAAACATTTTTCTTCATACAGAACCCCATGAAAAACTGTTACTTCAGTAACCACCTGAAATTGGTAGTTTCAATCCTCTGCCCTTCCCATCAGTCCTCTCTGTTGATTCAGTGAAACAAATGTGTCCAGTCCTTTTTCCTCCACTACTTCTCCACATCTGCTGACACCAGCTACCTGCAACTGCTGGGTTGCACCGTGCCCTGAACTCCCCAGGGCTCTGCTTGTCCCCACTGACCCCAGCCCCTGGGCTGCACCGTGCTGTGGTGCAGGCAGCTGGCATTGATTATTCCTGGGGCCACTGCAACAGGGGCTGGGGTCAGTGGGGACAAGCTGCACCACGCCCCATGTCCTCTTGTCCCCATTCAACCCAGCCCCTGCTGCAGCGGCCCTGGGAGCAGCTGATGCCAGCTGCCTGCACCACGGCATGGCGCAGCCTAGGGGCTGGGGTGAATGGGACAAGTGGAGTCCTGAGGGATTCAGAGCGCAGCACAGCGCAATGGCTGCAAGCAGCTGGCATTGGCTGCTCCTGGGGCTGCTGCAACAGGGGCTGGAGTGAGTGGGGCCCTGGTCCCGTAGCCCTTTCACCTCCTGCCAAAGACTTAGCTGCTTGGGGGAGGGGGAAGCACACCTATGCCAATCGCATAAGAGTGAATTTACCTTGTGTATAACAAATTTGGGGTATAGAAAGTGTCATTGCATATGAATGAATCTGCATATACAGAACCCGCATAAACTGAGGGAAACCTGTATATGGTAAATTATGAGTTTTCAGCTTTGGACTAATGTAATCCATTGTTTGTACTTTGTGTAGCAAAGGATTGAGACCTGTTCAATGCACTGTGGATGGGCCTCCCTACAAGACTCTACCATAGTCTCCCAATGGGAGGATCTCAGCTACTTGCCCATTTTATGGAAATGGGAGATTTCTCCCTAGCTTGCTTCTTTGGCCTTTTGGCTAAAGGCAAGCAAGGCTCGGCAACATCTGAACCTTAAGACCTCTGGGCTTGGGGCCTGCACGTAGGATGCTTGCCATGGATTTGGGAGCATCTGAAATTGCAGGCTGAAGAGTCTGGGAGGGAAAATATTTGCCAGTGGTAATACCACATGGGTGTGAACCACTGGGCTCAGTTCAGTGGATGAAACTGAGAATTAATTTGACTGATTTGGCCTGAGACACATTTTTTTTTACAAAAAAAATGCATGGTTTGTCCTATATAGAAATAGGTACAAACGTGCTGCTTGAAAAGTGTGTTTATGGAGTACCTGTACTAAAAATCATAGCAGTTTCGAATGAGGTAAATTGCATCAATTCTAGATGAACTAAGTCTATAGGTACCTATAATAATATTCCTATATGCAAGCTATTACAGGAATGGTTCCTCCACCCCGCCAAGGCCAGTGTTTTCAAATTTGTCTCTCACTTCCAGAGACAGCAGAGTCAGACAGTGAGGAGGGAGGGAAGGGGCTGCAGGGGAAGTTAGTAGGAGAGCAAGCGGGGGCAGAGGGTTAGAGGGCTATCTGATTTTCCAGATTCATTTTTCCCTAATGTAACAGTGGGAAGGGGACAAATTCAAGGCAGACCTCCAATAACTCAATTCTATACCTGAAAAATTATAACATGATTATAAATTTCCAATACAGAGCATAATTATTGCAGGAGCTGTCTTATATTTGAGTGAATATGGTGGGTTTTTAGCAGATTTGTAAACTAAATTATAATTGCAGAGTTATAGTCTTTCTTTGGCTATACCAGTTCAACCCCAGAGAAGGCAACTTGTAGAAAGCAGATGTGCACTTACACAGATGAAGGTAAAGTTTTGCCTGCAGAAACTATTACCATACATGTGCCAAAGAGAAGTCAGATCTTGGGTTGAGTTTACAGAGCTGGCAGTTAGAACAAGAATTCTCTTTATTCTTAAACTGATCATTTGCTCTGGATATCAATGAGATAATAAAACTGATATCCACATGCCATTTTACTAAGCAGCTTTTCATAATGGAATTGCTTTTTAAATTACGCTTGAAATCCATGCAAAAGGCAAGGATTTTTTAGGGTGATATCTTTTATCAGACCACACATGATTCCTATTTACCTTTGCGGCTCTTCTAATACCCTCCACTTATCTCGTGTCCTCTTCCTCTACCCTGTCATTGTTGATGAGAATCTTTTAATCTCTTTCCAGTTCTCTGGGAAAGACCTTCTGCCTTCATTATAACTCTTTTCTGTCTCCTTCACCCATTATTATTTTACTGTTGTTTGATTTCTCAAGTATCCATTCACCTCTAAAAATTTAAATCACACACTTCAAAATTTAAGTAATCATTACTATAGACACATATACATATATATATTACAAATATGGCTTTGTAAATCTCCCACAAGAAACTGAGATGCTAACATCATTTCCTTCTCATAACTCTACCATATGATTTCAGTCAAATCATCAGTCTTCAGCTCCTTCAGCTGTGAACCCTCAATTTCTCTAAATGGCTGTAAGTGAAGGTGAACTTTGCAGTGTGCCTATGAAGCTAACAAATACCAGGTTGTAAGGAATCAAACAGAAAGTAAATTCTAGGAATCAGTGGGCACATCTACATGAGATGCTAAATGTACCATAGACTAATTCTACTGTGCATTAGCGCATCATGACAAAAGCCATGCTAATACACTAATGTACAGTAGGATTAGTCTACTGTGCATTAGCATCACTAAAAGACCGTGTGCTACACAGTAGTTCTGGTTACTGAATATTGAGTTAGTACCTTTTATTACAGGTACTAAACTTAATGAGCATTAACAAACGTGTGGACGTGCCCAGTATCTTCCAATGGAAGAGGCAGATCCAGTATCTCATGTAAATCCATTATTTGGTGATCTGATTGCAACAGTGGCAATATGGTTTATGAGACAAGGAAGCAGCACCTCCTTTTTATAGGTCAAAAAAATATATAAGGCCTGATAGAAGAAAATCTGCTTTTTGAATTCCTTGAGGGACAAGTCAGCTCTCAGAGCCTCAGTGTTGTTATATGCTTTGATGTGATAGACTGCTCAGCAAGAAAATGGTTCTTGCTTCTGCCTGTAGTCAATCTCAGTATTATTTAATTCTGCATATTACCTCAGAAGGAACTTTTAAATTAAAGATGTTATATAACAGAAGAATAAGTCGTATTGTATTTTACCATAACATAAAACATCCCATCTTTCTTTGACTTATGGCTACAAGACAATGACACTTTCTTTTAGTGTCCAGTCTGATTCACACTCAAGTCAAGTGGAAAGCTAGCATTTTCATCAACCAGAAAAGTGTCAGGCTATTAATAAGAAAAGGGCATGCAGTTTGCTTTTATAGTCACTGACAGTGTCTCAGACAATGCAAGAATAGATGCTTCGCGTCCAAAACAAAGTCTTAAAAATATTACATCTGTGAACATTTATACCATCCTAGTAAGTTGAAAAGAGTTTTGTTTTCACTGACATTATCCATCTATGTTTTCTGTGCAAGAACTTTGAGGGGGGTTTCTGTATATACCAATTTAAACAGCTTTCTCTGGAGAAAGAGAAAAAAGGAACCTTTCTTAATTTCATGTGTGAAAGCATTTTTCTCCCCTTGACCCTGACTTTGAAATATGTTTTTGGCTCGTATATTTTTCTACAGACCTTTAGTCCCTGAAGAGTGCAAAAGAACAGCTCAGTCTGCACAGATACTGACATCTGAATGCTCAAGGCATTGTCGGAATGGGCACTGCACTCCCACCGGAAAATGCTGCTGTAATCAAGGCTGGGAAGGAGAATTCTGCAGAACTGGTTAGTATTTAGTCACAGCAATGGGTGAAAACAGCAGTTACCTGCCAAAATAGCCTTTAAGGACAAGCTGAGAAAAATCTAATAAATTGCACTGTTGCTTCTAAATGTGTAGCTCAAACAGGGATTTTGATCCTATGGTAAGGCTACAGTATAATACTAAGTGAAAGCAAAACTACAATAAGAGCTAAGGCTGCAATACGAGATCCAATATCTACAACCCCGTATTTAATGGCTGTAATTTTGTAGGCCACAATATACTCCTATTTTCTCTTTCAGCTAAGTTGCATTTAAAATAAGAAGGGAATTCCAACAGTATGCATTGAGGTTGGAATTCAGTGTCTTTTTGTGCACCTAAATAGTCTCCTGGCTGTAGACGTGCTTTTGAGCACTTTGTTTGGAAACATGTTGGTCCAGGAAGTAAAGAGCAATATAGGAGGGCCATGGCTCAATAAGTTGATGCTGGCCTTGAAGGAAGCAGGCACTGGGTTCTAGCCCAAAAGGGATTAATATTCCTCACTGCATAGTTCTCCACCTATTTTAGCCAATAACAATTAAATGCAAGGGGCAATGGTTCAGCTTCAGAAAGGAGCAGTGGAAAGGAATGTGGATAATGACCGGCTTTCCAAAGCGTTTGGCAGGCAAGCCATGTGAAAAAAACCTAAGAGAATCACGTATGTTTAGCTGAGAGAAAGGAAGATTAAGGGGAAATGTGATAACAGTTTTCAAATATATGAAATAAAGAAGAGGAAGAACAATTGTTCTTTTTTGCTGCAGAGGGCAGGACATAAAGCAATGGCTTTAAATTGCAGCAAAGTGATTTAGATTAGATTTCCAGAAAAAAAAACTTTCTTACTGTTAGCATGGTAAGACGGTGGAAGTTGGAGAATCTCCTTGACTGGAGGTTTCTAAGAGGAGGCTGGATAAGGATTTGCCAAGGATGATTTAGAAATAGCATTCCTTATTCATGGAAGAGGTTGAACCAGATGAACACTGAAGTCCCTTCCAAACCGATGCTTCTGTGGCATGGTGGTCAGAGTACTATACTGGGAAGTCAAGGCCCTGCTACACATTCAAATTAAAGTTGGATATAAACCAGCTGTAGAGTTGTTACACATTTTCAAGCACTAACTTTATAGCTGGCTGGCTCTTTTTATAGTTAGCCATTTTTCTCCTGTGATAATTTCTTTGCATGCGTGTCCCTTCTAAATTTATGGTGAGATTAACCATTAATTGCATGATATAAGTAACATATAGCAGGGGCCTCAAAAATGCAAGCTCAACCCCACTCTGGGCAAGATGGGGGCTAGAGCCAGCTTCTTCAGGTTCCCAGGTGAGTGCCCCAACTACCCAGCTACTGAGTCTAAAATGTGGGAGGATGCTTATTCTCCACCTTTTGCTAGACACATGCATGTTTACAACCATGCACATGCCCTGCCAGTGCATAGCCCTACTGTACATATTCAGTTTACATATGAATACTAACACATCCAGAGCCCAGAGGCAGAGCCAAAACCAGACAGGTATGTGGCAATAAAACTGCCCGTTAGGCACAAAAATGGAAATGGAATTCCACTCGAAATGTCTGAACTGACATCAGCTACACACACAGTTATTATTGACTTAATTAGAAGTCACCTGCTCAAGAAGGATTGCATACTTTAAACTCAGAGAATTTTATGTAGCTTTTTAATCCTCTAAATTAGCCTGTTGGGTTAGTGTACTTTTTAAAAAGAACCTGACAAATAATTCAAAACAAAGCATGCCTGAAAACTGTAAAGTTATTCAGTTATAATTCACTGATGTTTCTCTAGTTTATACATTTTTAGTCTCAGTTCCAGCATGTTCTTGACAAAAACTTTTTTTCTCTTTTTTAAAAGCCACTTTGAAAAATATCTATGGTCCAATTTTTATTTGTGACCCACTGTGTAGCTAGTACCGTTCATGATGGCTACGTCATCCAAGAAGGCATAAAATGATAAATTAATCATAAACCTAGGGATGTGCTGAAACCAGTGATAGCTCAAGCAAGGAAACTGGAAGACAACATCCAATAAGACAATCCCAGTGGCAGCAGATCTCCAGAGGGGAAAACAGCTTCACAAACTAGAGCAGGATGGCAAACTCTCACGCAGAAGCCCCAAATTCAGCAAGTTTGGACTCAAATTCCCAAACTCTGTAGATGTAGGGGATGATGCCCACTCTATAGCCCCCTGTTCATGAGGAGCTAAGAAATAAACTCTCTGATGTACATGCTGTGAGCCTAATAGAGATCATTAGTCATCTGTCCCCTTCATACAAGTTGAAAGCAGGCTATGATATAGTTCAGAAGTTGCAACTTAGAAAAAAACAGAAAGTTCTTCAAAGCAGGGATTGTGACTTGACCACATCACACACAGCATTACATACCACACAACACTTAGTAATATTGTTCTTATTCCAGCTGAGACCTCAAACCACTAAAATAATCCCAATAACAATAGTTAATCGAGACATACAACTCACTTTATATATGTTTCATTTTCAGAAAAATTTCATTTTTTAATTGTTTTACATATCTATTTTGTTTTAGATGGCATTATCCATATGTTATCCATAATAACAAAAATATCATAATGCAATGAGATTACCCCAAAGGAAAGAATACAACACAACTCAAGTTACTTATCACTGGTGGGGGTAACATTGGTTTGAACTCAGAACTAGTCTCTTCCCAGCGGGATTGCCTTTGCCACTAGGCTAGTCATGCTCCTCTTCATGCCCTATGCATCTTTCATTCCTTGTTGCATGGTTTTTACCAGGGGCTGGAAGGGAGAGTCCCCCTACCCACCTCTGCTTATAGCTTTATGGTTAAGGCATTTTTCTGGGAAGTGAGAAATGTGGGTTTGAACATCCTCTTCAACCAGAGAGAACTCAAAGCCATAACTTATCCTTTCCCAAGACAAAGCCCTAATCACTGAGCTATAAACTAAAGTCTAGGTGGGAGCACCTTCAGCCTTCCTGTTAAAGTTGGGAGCCCCTGGCCAGTTGAGAGTAAAAGAGACATAGGACCAGAAGTAGAGCAATCAAGGAGGAACATGACTCTTCACCTCACTAAGGAAGGCGCTTACCAAGTTGGGCAGGGGTGGACATCCTTGTTCCCCTAGTACCAGAATATTTTGTTTTTCTAACACAATGATGAAGGTGCCTGATCTTCAGCCCTGGGTCAGTGAGTCAAACTCTGAGGAGGAGTGGAAGTTCAGAAACACACAGGTGCCTAGCAAGTCCTACTGGTTAACCGTAGAACTCTTCCTATTCAGCCCCTAGGTGTTCCGGGTTGCTTTTAGGAGGCACCTAGGTCTCCCCATTTACTATATAGGGATCTTGGTGCCTAACCCTGTCAATCTAGGACAAAGATAAAATGCCTACGTAGAAAGGATTACAAGATCAATTTAGGTCTGGCCTTTAAATGTCCAAAAATCAACCAGGCTTGAATATAGGACCTTAAAACCTTAGTGAATTAGACACTTAATTATGTCCTAAATCAATTAATCCCCATAGAATCATGAAAATAACATTGATTTAATGCCCATTCCTAGATATCCATTTAAAACTCTTTTAGAGCCAACTTTTGCTTTGAAAGCCATTAACTGCTTCACACTTCCCTCTTTGAGATGTGTGAGGGAATTTTAAATTCTTTTACTACTACTATTAAAAAAAAGTAGGTTTCGCATCCACTACAGGCCCTTCTTTTTTCTACTTCTATGAGACTCTTAACACAAATTGGAATGTTTTTGTTTCCGCCCACAGCAAAGTGTGACCCAGCGTGTCGACATGGAGGTGTCTGTGTAAGACCCAATAAGTGCTTGTGTAAAAAAGGATATCTTGGCCCCCAGTGTGAACAAGTGGATAGAAACATCCGAAGAGTGACAAGGGCAGGTATTCTTGATCAGATCATAGACATGACATCCTATTTGCTGGACCTAACCAGCTACATTGTATAGTTTCTGGGACTATTTGGATACTACATTTTCAATGGGCATTTATTTCTAATCCTGTCATTTTCAAAAGACTGTCATCCTGCTACAAACACCAGTGATTCACTTTACTTTCATTAACTATAATTTCCAGAAATGTACAGATTAATTCTTTGCATGTGTGTATGTATGTTTGTACATCTGCACCGATGTATGAATGTCCACATACATATACCTGTCACAGGTGTGGTTCCATAACCAGTGGAATTTTAAAAAATATTTCTTCATGTGAAATAGTTTACACAGTAATTCCATGGTAAATTACAATTTCAAAGGACTTTTTTAATGATGTCAAAATGGATTCCTTGACACCCCATCAATTTTGTGTCTGTAACTATCTGTTTATAGCAATAAGAGCAGTTTTGAAACATTACTGTCCAAACTGCTGGGTTTAATTAAATTCAGTTATAATAATTTTAAGGCAAAATGAACTACATTATGCGATAATATTTCAGATTTCCTTAATGCATTCCTAAATTCATTGTAAAATTGTAACCTTCACCTTCATCAATGTAATTCCATTACAGAATGTTATGCACTTCTTTATCTGGCATAGATGCAGAAATGTGGTTATTGCAGCTTAATACTGAGATTGTTTCAAGTGTTTAATAATTAAATTATATCAGTGAATTTCAAAACCAGTCATCTTAGAAGGTCTGCTTTTTATCATATATTTTATTTAACAAAGGGCACTGGGTTCATGTTACATATTTATATTATTTTATTTTATTTTTATAATATAGACATCACCTAGATGAAACAGCTTTACCATGTCCTGTAAAATACTAAAGTTACATTTTTCACCAACTTAATTGGAATGACGGGGAAAGAGAGAGCAAACACACTCTTTAATGTGTTGTGGATCTAATCTAGAAATGTACCCTTGTGTCAACATGTATTGATTTACGACGGATGAAAAACCAGCCACCAACCAATCATAGTAAAATTCAAGCCTACTGTAAAAATGCTCATAAAGTGCTTTTCACAATAACAGGACTGGCCAGATTATACATTATTAGACTGTGGCAGATTTCACACTGAAAGGAACTTCACTGGACAAGAGCTTGCATTAGCAAGTCTTGGCTGTTTAAGATGTCACTTGTACAAAACTTTATATGATGATTATTGCTAAATATGGTTTTAAAATGTAAATGTTCCTTGGAGAGCTAACAGAAACTTTTGTAAATGTATCAATAAATATGGTGTACATGCTGTATTCAGGTTTTTAAAGTATTAATTGATACCCTAACTATAGACCTCTTCAGAATGGGTACCATCTCCTAACCAAACTTCATGATATTTGTGGCCAAATCTCTTTGTTCGCTATTTACCACTTATCAGGATTCCTTTGTACCACTGCCTTACAGAAAACAGTTGCCTAGAAAAAGAAACCATATACCAATAGCACTCCCATCACCATTCTTACAAACAGCTCGTCCTATTTCAACCGTATACAGTGGCTTTAGCAATTCAGTCTAAAATATACTAGGCACATTGTTCACCAACAAGAAAATAACACCTATATGGCAGTGACTTGTAACTAATTTCTGCATTACTAGAAGTGGTCAGTCAGTTTTAATACAACTGAAATTTCCTGCAAAACCTGATTGTTACTTGGGTTTATCTGTATTAAGAAACTGAGCAAGAGAAAAGAAAGCTGCACATGCCTTCCATATATGATTCCTTGGGTTTCAAGTGACCTCATGCCAAATGGAAATTGGTTGAGAAATCTTGGTTGAGTGTTTAGTGAACAATAGCCTGCATTAAAAAAGTGCATGCATAATTTTGCACAATGTAGATTCAATTGACAGTCTATTCAAAGAAGTCTCAGGATTAAATGAGCATGGAGACCAAATTGCCCTCTTACCCCAGAAAAGGGTGGTCTCTTCCAGTCACACTAACACTTCATTGGCTAAGCAGTGTGACAAATCTTGCAATGAACCCTGCAGTAGCCTGCATCTGTAGGTTAATAGCAGGTCTTTGTCTCCACTGCTTTCTGCCTATAGTCTTTTTACTGAATTCCATCACAAGAAGTTTTACAATTAAAAAATGTCCTGACAACCATTTTTGTAAATTGACCTTACCATCTAATCGTCCCTTATTCAACATGGGTGACATTAACAAAATGTGAACTTCTTGTGAATGAGCCAGCTATCTAAATCTATCAAATGGCACAGTTTTATTACACCTTATACAATTTGTAAGCAAAATAAGAACAATGTTACTGCTGCATTTTAGCAACATTTAAATAACTGACAGCTAACAATTTGAACACTTTCATTAAAAAGATAATCCCAATCTTAACTCCATATCACATGCAACGTTTGTATATTTTCAGTAACTGAGGGAAAAAGATACCCTTATGCTAGTCACCTTCATGAGATTTAAAAAATGTAAGCAGGTTTGAAAAGAAATGATCCTCAGGTGGCATCTATTTTGGTAAAAGTCTAAATTCTTCTCAAGAAAGATATCAAGAATCATAAATGTCAACTCATAGTAACAAAGAAACTAAAGTATCTGGAACCAGTGTTTTCTGTTTTTAGTGGAAACAGACATAAAAGCAGAACTACTGAGGGCTAAGGGTGAAACCCTGGCCTCCTTAAAATCAGTGGCAAAACTCCCTATAGTGGGGCTAATACTTCACCCTAAAATGTTAGCATGCATCTCAGTTGATAAAAAAAAAACTATTTGGCTTACTCCACTAAAATGTTATCACTTAGATGAGCTCTGTAAAATTGGGAGGTGGTGAAAAGGGGGAAACAGAAAGAAGTTTGGTGAAATGTGAGTTTTTCTGACTTATAAAACATATTTTCCACTGCGAGGAAGCAGACTTCTCTCCATTAAGCCCCCATGGTTGCGTAGTTTGATTTGAAGACTACCCAATAGAAAGGAAGTGTTCCCAGTAAAGACAAAGAAAATTTGAAAGGTTTGACAAAGTGGGGAATTACACCAACTGTTAAAAGGGTAGGTAAAAAATGTCACTTTCTAACCTAAGTACTTCAAATGTAAAACTAAAGATGGGTGGCTCTGGTAATACTCTGAAAATTGGCATGCACAACAAATTATTTTTACAGCAATCCCATGCTGGCTAGCACACCCTACAGCCACTCATGCCTGTAGGATCTCGGTATAAAAACTGAGCGTACACATGAACCTAGGTAAATAAGGAAAATAGATAAGAGATTCAAGAATATTTTCTGTGCATGTGTGCACTCTCACTGTCTCTCCTCCACCTCCCTCCTGGCCCGTTACACATATATGTTTATTATGCACTTGTTTCCAATCAGCTGTACAGCTCTTATAGATCAAAGTGAAAGAAATATGCTATCACAGGGGACCTCTTCTCTAGATACCAGATGGACTAAAGTAATTTCTTTTCCTTATGATGTCACTTCAGAATGAGGAACCCTCTTCCTTGAGAAAAAGCATTACATCACTAATCACAGAGAAGGTCTAATATTTGAATAGCTCTTGAACTTCACTTCAGATACGATAGTATGAATATTTGAAATTAAAGGACTTGTTCTGCCATTAAGTCATCATAAAATCAGCTCTAAATTACTGTATTTTTGAGCCACAGAAACATATTGCACTGACTTTTCTGACTTGCCCAACAACAAATATTAAGTGAAATCCTTCCCTCAGATTGATCTGCATCTTCCACTGACTCTATGGGACTCACGCATGATTGCAGGAGAGCAGACATTGGCCCCGCAGTTGCCTACAGATCCAAACAGGTTACTCTATTCAGCGCTTCCAAACTACAATTTGCAGACATCAGGATTAGGTGACAACTATTCTCTATTGGCAACTATGGCAAGTTAAACATCTCTCTCCTTCTATTTGATTCTGTTAATTTTGGCTTTGCAATTTTTTCTACACATGAAAAATTGGAAAGATCAGCATCCCTTATGTTGCTGCTGTTTTTGCTCTGGTTTTTAATCCACATTATAGGCACATACCTCAAAATAACGCTATTACATTCCCATAATGAAATTTAAACAACAAAATACTTCTGCTTATAACTTCTGTTTGTTCTGCATGATTTATTTATTTTGTTCCGTCAGATATTCTTCTAGCTTTGCTGGATCCTTGGTCATTAACTCTGTGTTGTTTTTCAAGTGAGAACAGATTCAGTCCCCTCACTCTTAGCACACTGAGCAAAGTTGTCTCAAAGGTGGAGCTAGAAAAGAGCAGAAGAGGAATGCAATTGTTCGTTTTACAATCACCCTGCCAAGCAGCTCTAAAAATGGCACTAAAATCAGCCTTGAAAGAGATTGATTCCTCTCCAGTACTCAGATATCCCAAATAGGAAGCAAAAAGAGATTGCCCAAAATGAAGAAATGTGTATCCTCACAACTCTCTTTCCTTAGCAAGACATTAGATAGGATAAAGCCAATGTGAAGACAGGTGCCTAAGGGCCAGATCCTATAAATACTTGAGTATGTGAGCAGTTCCATCGAGGTCAACAATGGACATTTATTCACATGCAGAAATATTTTGCAGGATTGGGGCCTAAGTGAGAAACTGGTCTCAAAACAAATATTCCTTTGATTAATTTTTCATTAATTTTCTGAGTATTTAAGCAAGAGCAGACAGGTTTATATTACTACCTGCCAACTTGTGCAATAAATTAGTTAGGAGCAATGCTTTATCAATTTGCTTACCAGTTACAAAGATAACCACTTAAGAAGAACTAGTAAAAAATGAGGGGGAAAAATTGAAAGTCAAAGTTCTCTCCACTTGTAAGGATAAAAATTAACCCAGTTTCACCTTTGAAATTTTTCTGTCCTTTTTTAAATCAAAATTCTTATTTTTACTGTATCAATTGCCAAAGTGGTTAACTTTTCATTCATTTCAATAAAACATTTCAATAAAATGTTGGAAAACCAGCAATCAATTTAATTATGTTAAATTTGTCACCCTCTTCAAGGGAAAAATAAATCAAAGAAAAAAAAATAACTACAATTTTCTACCACCTCTACTTTTTTATGGTGTGCAGATCCGAAAAGCACAGCAGAGCCCTCATGAAAGTTTAGCCCTGGATAACTTTAATTGTTCTTCAAGGGCCTGATCCAAAGGCAACCGAAGTAAATTGAAAGACTGAGGACTTCATTAGTTTTAGGATTAAGACCTTAGATGACATCCACAGCAGACATTGCTGCACACATTATCCCTTGAAGCCCGTTCCTACAGCCACTGGATTCAGTGGAATGTTTTTCCAAAGCTTGAATGGCAGATGTAGGCCTGTCACTAAGTATAGAGCATACCCAATCCTACTTGGGTTTTCTTACAGATATGGATAGAGGTAATATGAGGATTTATTCAGATGCTAGATTTTCTTTTTTCCTTCACATGTTGCATTACTTGGCTCATACCAATTTTCTCTTCTGCTTGCTCTTATATTAGATATTTAAATGGCAATGTATGTAGGAAGATAACTAAAAAAACCCCATCAGTGGTCCCATTCTGAGAATTATGTATGAAATACAGAAGCAAACCCCATCTGAACATTGATTTGACAAAGAACCAATGGCAAAGCTTCTATTGACTTGATTTGGAGCATGATCTTACCTGTTGAATTGAACAATTCACTGGTGCCTCAGAAACATTTTCACATCTTTTTTTCCTCACATATAAAATAAAGATGCTATAGCATTTCAATTCCAACTGCCATGACTAGTTACAATGAAATCAATGGGGCTGCTCACGGGAAGTTATGTGCATAAGTATTTGCAGAATCAGGCCTAACATAGTTATACATATATACACTGGGCAAAATTGCACCCATGAATGGGTATATTTAGTGATCACAATGGGTGTTGGTATATATGTCTGGGAGTAGAATCTGACATGCTACTGATACACAGTGAAGTCTTCCAAGAAATTATACTATTGAAAATAATTCCATGAAGCTTTACATCACTGTATTGCCAGTCATTGTCTTGGGAAAGAACAGCATTACTATTTTATAACATAGTGCACATGCATACACAGACATACATACCAAATGCTCAATGGCTTAGGTACAATATGATGTTATACTAAGTGCATAAAATGAAACTCATTGCTCCCTGCTCCATTTCTGCTTTATTAATAATTGCTAGTACAGGACTGGTCTTGTTGTCCTTCCTCAGACAAAACTCCCATATCGTCAATTAGATTTTTTTTTCTGTAAAGATTTAAGGTTTGAAAGGAATAAACAGCAGATTTCAG